AAAAAAAAAAAAAAAATTTATTTTTATTTTGGCAGTGTTTCCTCCCCTCCCACCCCTGGTAACCAATAAATAAAGTTTCCTTCCATATATAAACCTTTCCTTGACTTTTTACAATAATGAACTAATACAATATTTGTCCTTCTGTGCACAGTCTATTTTTCAAAAATGATTTATTTTTTGTTTTTGTTGCTGAGAATACATACAACAAAAAATACACCAATTCTAGTTTCTACATGGACAACTCAGTGATACTGATAACATTCTTTGAGTTGTGCAACCATTCTCTCACTCCTTTTCTGACTTGTCCCTCCCCCATTCACACAAACTCACTGTCCCCTAAGGTTCCTATCTAATCCCTCAAGGTGCTGTTTTCAGCTTGATCCCGTGTAGACAGCTCTTAGGAGAGCACAAGGCTCAAGGCAGACATTTTTAACTAGGTAAGCTGAGCTATTGTTTGTTTTGTTTTTAATTTTTATCATGATTTGGGTGAAAGCTTACAGAGCAAATTCACTTTCCATACAGCAGCACACATACACTTTATCTCATGATATTGACTACAATTTCCCACAATCCAACAGCTCCCCTTCCTCTTCCTCCCCATAGTTATCTGTTCCCTGGAGATACACCCTTTTTATAGTAGCAATATTTAACAGGAAAGTTAATGCTTCTGAGGTTTAAATCACTACTATATTTTCATGATCAAAATTTTCAGAGCACTTATGTGTTAGTAACTATACTAAGCATGATGCAGTTAGTTGCCAGCAAGTTGGCGCCAACTCATGGTGACTTTATGTATAACAGAACAAAATGTAGCCCAGTCTGGTGCTATCTTTATGACCAATGGTATAAGTCTACTCTGGAGGCTACTATATCAATCCATTTCACTGAAGGTTTTCATTTTCTCTAATCCTCTACTTTACCAAACATGATACTACTCTGCTGCATACCCTTCCCAATCCTAAACCATGGAGATCTCCTTGCTCTGTTCAAACAACTGCCTCTTGAGTACACATGAAGACAATTAAGTGTTCTAGAATTCCCATTCTTTTTAATGTTATCCATGATTTATTATGATCTACCCAGTTGTATGCCTTCACATTGTTAATAAAACAAAAGTAAGTACCTTTCTGGTATTCTCCGCTTTCAGCCAAGATCCATCTGATGTTAGCAATATCATCTCTTGTTTTAGAAACCACTAATTTTTTCCTCTACTTGCTCTAGTCAATGGCAAGCAGTAAGCTATTTTCATTTAACTGTAGCCTAACAAGAACAAAACATGTTCTGCTTGAAAAGCTTTGCTTAACAGTCTTGTTTCAAAGGACATAAGAAATAAAACTGGAAGAACTATAGGTCACATATTAAATAAAGAGCACTGGGACTCAATGATCCACTGGAAATGAATTACACGTAATCTAACAGTAAAATAAAGCTGATACAAACCTCTCACCTCATTTTTAATACACAGTTCCAATTAACCTCAGGTTATTTTTTGAGATTTGCAAAAACATTATCCATTCTGGCAGTGTAATTTTACTACCTACCTGTTTTTCATCAATCTTATTTCTCTTTTCAATTGGGGATCATCTGTCTTAGTTGTTTGAGATGTAAGAGTCACAGGAGATGTCATTACCACCGTTTGTGGTAGTGCAGTAGCTGAAGGTGTGGTACGGATCTGATATGTCTGCATATCTCCTGATGCAGCTGTGTGGTCAAAAGAGAGTGAGTTAATTGATAAATGTCTTTGAAAGTACTTTGGGATGCTTTCTACTGCTACCTAAGCATACTTACTCTGTACAACCACCTGATTGCTGGGCACAAGTATTTGCTGTCCATCAGATGTCTGAGCATACTGCAGAATTGTTGTACCTTGCTGAGAGCTGCCTGAATTTGTCATGGTTAATGTCTGAAGCCCCTGTACTCCATCTGTGCCTGGACTGGCCAGCTGTAAGGCTCCATTTGGGGCAATGGCAACTTTAACCAAAGAGAGAAAATAGCTATTGTAAGGCCATTAGAAGACACTAATTGCAAAAGGACTGTCAAAAAACAAACACACATTATTTGTTAAAACAGGTTTGAATGCAGTTCTACTTGATAACTGTTGTCTATTTTGGGTGAAATATATATAAAAGAAATAAGCCTTTATAAAATTTTATAGTTCAGATGGACTATCTTAAATTTAGTATCAAATTGTAGAATACAACTAATTGGTCAAAATTAGCACATTTTAGGCTCCGTGAAGCACACCATGCTAATGGCTAATGTTGCCACAGCAATTCTTGAAGAGGCCACCAGTAGCTAACTTATAAAGAAAAAAAAAATTAGCATAGTTTCTAATTGTTATTCAAAAGAAGCACCAAAATGATTGTAACTTAAAAATACTTTTGAAAAGGCAACATGTGCCTATGAGAAAAAATTCCAAATGGAATAAAACATTATAGGATGAAAGATAAATCTTCTTTATATTCTGTTTCTTAGCGCTATCTTCTAGTTGTAACCACTGTTAAATTTATTGAATATTATTAAATTATTTACTTAAGTGATGTTTAAGAAATGTAATCTATTCATCCATTTCTCTAGTGAAAATCACCAATAAAGTTAGGTCACCAGAAAGCTACTGTATAGATCACATTACTTAGCTCCCCTCAAACATTTTTCACCAAATTATACTTGTGTTAATACTTCCCCCTCAGACCTTAAGGCATGACCAAATAAAAAACATTTTAGCATTATGCAATTCCCACATAGTAAATCCCCCTCAGAATCTAGTACCTGTGATCTCTGCACCCTCTTTTCAGACTATAATTATGTAACATTGTTTTACATCTTGGCTAAGAAGCCAAAATACACTTGTCTTTGTGTGTGTTTTAACCAAAAATTATTTTTTCAGGCATTTCTAATCATCTCATTACCAGATGCAAATGTTCCCACATACTTTAATTTATATAAAAAATAGACTCATTAAAATTTTTCAGAGGCAGAGATCTGTTTTAATGTATATTAGAATTTGTTTCAATCTCCTTTCCTATAATACATTTATATGTTTATATAAATGGATGTGTGTGTGTGTGTGTGTGTATATATATATATATATGTATTTTTTTTTTTTTTAAACTCATTGCTATTGAGTAGATTTTGACTCATAGCAACTGTATAGGACAGAACAGAACTGCCCCATAGGGTTCTTTAGGCGGAAATCTTTATAGGAACAGACGGCCGTGACTTTTCTCTTGTGGGATGGCTCATGTGTTCAAACCACTGACCTTTCAGTTAGCAGCCAAGCACTAGTGCTTAACCACTGTGCCAACAGAGCTCCTTTACATTTATATATTACATAAACAGATTTATTTATTTATGTAGATGTAAATATATAAAGAAAATAAAAAGCAGAAGTCCCATTATCTATTTCTATTTATCTCACTGACCACCCACTCTCCACCTCCATCCTGAGATGACCATTATTTTTGGTTTACATCTTTCTCAATCTTCTCCTATGCTCATGCAGACAATATATTAATATATCTCAAAATATGAATATCTATAGATGCACTTGGTGGCACACTGGTTAAATGCTCAGCTGCCAATCAAAATGTCAGCAGTTCAAACCTATCAGTCTTGCCGTAAGAAAAAGATGTGGCAGTCTGCTTTCATAAAGATTTACAGGCTTGCAGACTCTATGGGCAGTTCTACTCTGTCCTTTAGGGTTGCTATAAGTTGGAACTGAAGTTGATGCCAATGGGTTTTTTTTGGATGATGTTAAATATATGTAATGATACACAAATTATTTTCATTTTTGGAACATATCTTCCTGTTCTTGTTTAACATTTGTATTTACCTGATGGTATTTACTCTAAATCTGTGTTATCTAATAGGGTAGCCATTAGCCATGTGGCTATTTAAATTTAAACTAATTAAAATGAAACAAAGTTAAAATTCCAATTCTTCAGCCTCACTAGCCACTTTTAAATGCTCAATAGCCTTATTTAGCAAATGTCTATTGCATCAAGTACATAGATACAGAACATTTCCATCATTACAGAAGTCCTACTGAACCGCACTTCCCTAAATAGTGAGTTGGGTTTTTTTTAAATACATCTGAAATATGAGACTTTAGTTTTTATATAATCTTCATAATTTAATTGTTACCGTTTTTGAAATAATAAACCATATTGATATATCATAATTTTAAACTTGTGAATATGCTATTTTTAAATATTTTTTGAAACAGCAATACATTACACAGTAAAAAAACTTCTATTTTGAATAGAATTCTTGTTTTTGCTACCAACTTTCCTTCCTATATAAAACTAGACTTTGAAACAACTGTTTCAGTTTTTTATGCATCCCTACAGAGGTTTTCTATATATTCTTTAATCTATTTATTTATAACAAATTTTTACTGACAGCCTACTATGTACTAGGTTCTATGTACCAAGGATATAGCTGTGAATGAGACAAACACAGTTCTGATTCTCAAGGAACTTACATTCTAGTAGAGGGAACAGATGATAAACAAGTTAATCTGTAATTGCAGGTAGTGATAAGTGCTATGAAGAAAAATGTAAGGTGGTATAGAAAGCCAAAAGGAGCAGTATATTTTAAGAGTGATCTGTTTGAGGAGATGATATGTAAGCAGAACAGAAGTGACAATGTAAGCCACTGAATATCTGGGGGAAGAATATGCCATGCAGTGGGAACAACAATTCCAAAGAGCCTGACACAGAAACAACTGAGGTAGTGCGGTGTGGTAAATTACTTAGTGTGGCTTTTCTACCCATAAGTCTTTGTAAACTCCAAGGTGGGATTTTCTATGAGCAACTGAGGAGCTCCTGATTGCTGAAGTTGTCCACCTGGAGTATTTCTGTTGGGAGTGGCACAAAACAATGTTGTGGGAGGTGCCCACTCTCTCTCAGGTGCTTAGAGTTCTGATGCTATGATTAGCTAGTTTGACCACCCTGCCGGGCTCAAAAGGTGGTCTCCTAGAGGCAGAACTCTCTCTGACTGCTGGTTGAGGAAAACGTGCTGCTGAAAGAGACACAGGCTCCTGAGACATGTGTTGCTGGGAAAGAGACGCAAGAGACATGCATTGCTGAGTGACCAGCACTGCTGGGAAAGAGACTGTGAGAGACTGCTGGCTGAGGGACGGTGGGCTGGGAGAGAGACTGAGCATTTTTCCTGAACCTGAATTGTAGCCTGTGGTGCTTCCCTAATAAACCCCATAATCTGTGAGCTCTGTGTGGCCACTGTAGCAAATTATCGAACCCAGGAGAGAGGTGGTGGGTGCTTTGGGAGTAACGGTTGGTGAAAGGGCTGGAGGGAGGCAGCATGTCGGCCTTGTAGGAATAGGCCTTAGGTTACTGCTGGTAATCCTATCTTCCTCTTGTGGGATTAGAGGAGGTCAGAACATGTGGCCTCCTCGCCGTTTTTGCAGGTAGAAACAAACATAGAAGTCTGTGCAGCCAGAACGCCAGAAGCAAATAGTCAAGAGGCAGGAGATAAGGTCAGAGCGGCAGGCAAAGCCAAATCCTGAATGTACTGCCTTGTTGGACCTGGATTTCATTCTCAGTATGGTGGAAAGTTACTGGAGGATTTTGAGCAGGAGTGATGTGATCTGCGTGACATTAAAAAAACACATTAGCTACATTGTAGAAAACTTATGTTTGGAGCAACAATGGAAGCAAGATGACCAAATGGATACCTACACTGCATTAATTCAGATGAATTTAGGTCTAAACCAAGGTGGTGGTGGGCATGGAAGATAGGGAGAGGTGGTCAAGCAAAAGCCAACTAGACTTGAAGAATAGGAGTTAGGAGTGGAAAGATTAACTACAAAGATGCAGCAAAAAGGAATTTTTTTTTTTCATTTTAACAAGGAAATTTCTTGGAGTGATGGAACTATATCCTGATATGGTGGTCACACAATTCTAGGCATATACTGAAACTCACAGACTTACACTCCAAAAAAAAAAAATAATTCTACTGCATGTAATTAAATAGTAATTTTTAAAAAGACTAGCCAGGAGACTCTCCACTCCTTGGAGAGATCAATCATGGGAGAATAGAAGGGCTGTGTATGCACAGGGAGACAGCTCAAGGGGCAGGACTGCATGTGAAGGAAGGACACAGGGAAGAGGTAACTATGGGGAAGAAGTGGGAGGGGAGCTGTTGCATTATGGGAAATTGTAGTAAATGCCATGAAACAAAATGTATGTGAGCTGCTGTATGGAAAGTGAATTTGCTCTGTAAACTTTGACCCAAATCACAGTAAAAATTTTTAAAAAAGAAAACTAGCTAGGAAAATCATGAAAAAGAAAAATAATTATATTAAGATAACCAAAACCAAACCAAATTCACTGCCATTGAGTCGGTCGGTCCCGACTCATAGCGAGTTCTCCTTGTGTTTCCGAGGCAATATCTCTATGGATGTAGATTACCCAATCTTCCCTCTGAGGAGTGGCTGGTGCATGTGAACTGCCAGCCTTCTGGTTAGCAGTCAAATGCCTTAGGCACTATGCCACCAGAGCTATATAGTAATTACATATGGAACTGCATAAATGTATGAATGAACAAATCAGACCTCAAGGCATATGAAATACCACCTTCATCCTATACTAAATTCCTTTATCAGTAAGGTAAAGATACATTTAAATATGGAAATGGTATTACATCTATATACTAGATACCCACCTACGAAAAAAAAAGTTAGGATTCCCACCTGACTCTTTATACCAATAAACACTCAAAATGGATCAAAGATTTGAAAGTAAAAAATGAAACCAAAGAAGTACTAAAATAAATCACTGGAGAAATTGCTTTCTATTTATCTCAGAAAGGAGAAAAACCATTACAACCAATGATTATAAAACTAAAAGCCATTAAAGAAGTTCAAATATATGGATGTATATATATATCTGCATGCAAAGAAACACTGACAGAATTTAAAAACAAAGAACACATTGGAAAAAATATTTGTA